TAATTTTTTTAAAAATAAATATAATATTTGTTCTTATTATTATTATTATTGAATTCTAAATCATAGATGGTAAGCTTAAACAGTCACGTAACTATTATTTCGCTCTACAAATTGAAGATTAATTCCATTAAATACCATTTAAATCGAGGATCAAGCCGAACTGAAGGCTGAAGAAGCTAAGATTGTACGAAACTTAGAAGCAAAGCGGAGATTAACGAATAATTACTTTGAATTTCAATGATATTGAAAACATATGCGGTCATTACTTACTTATTTGATTTTCGTGGACCTTTTTTTTTTCCATTACGGCGATCGTGATTTTCCATCGTGAATCTTCAGTTCTGCGGTCGTGCCCTTGACGTGTTTCTTGATACGGCGTATACATAAACATATATTGACGTGCACACAACTAAGTACAGGTCACGAGGACGTGACGTCTTGATGGAGTATAAATGCATGGCCGGTTATGCACGTACGTCAACAAAAGTCGCTCATAACGCGACGTAGAAGGTGCTCCAAAATCCAGCTGCCTCGATGAATCACCTACAAGCATACAATGGTTAGTCTATATCTTGGACACAAAGGTCATAAATGAATTGCTTTGGCAACTATAGAATAGTCACGGTAAGATATAAATAGACGGAGGAGTTGTGTCGAAGGACGTAGGGATACAATTTTGTCATTTACGTGAATAAGTAGGTATGAATAAAAGAATGGAAAAACAGATGATATAATCATGACATAATCCGGTTTCCACGTTCAATTATTCAAATTAGAAAAAAGATATTTCTTATTAATAGTTGTAAATTATAAAAAAAATCAAAAATTTTGTAATTGATTAATATAATTCAAGTTTTTTATTAATAGCACAAAAGATAAAGTTTTATTATAAAATTTGATTGTATAAATAATTTCATCAGATGTTCTATAATTAATGGATATGAATTTTATTCGTTATGAATAACAAAAAAGAAAAAACAATTAAATTCGAAAATTTAAAATTGTTATTAACACGATAACAAGTTCACTAATAAATTCTATTTTAGAACAAAAATATAATTTTTTATCTTCGAGATTTTAAAATATAATAACAAATTAAGAATTTTATTGTAACTAGAACTAATATTTATTTCATGTATTAATCATTAAAATCATTATAATCGTGAAATAAAATTTTAAAAAAAACCACGAATCGTGTTAATGACTTGTTAATTCATTGATTCATTGCGAATTTTCTCCACGATATAATAACAAAAACCTGCGTGTAATTCATACGCATTAAATGAAAGAACGTATCTGAGGAAACGTACACGTGCAAATGTTTCACGTGTATAGAAATACAGAAGCACAGACCAAGCCTCGGGATTTCGGGTCGATAACCGTGACGTCAGTGAATTATACGAGAGAGGGTAAGGGAGAGGAAACGGAGCACGTTGATAGAGAGATAAGAGAGAGGAGAAAAATAGAAAAGTTGTTTATAGAAAACAAGAGAGAGAGAGAGAGAGAGAGAGAGAGAGAGAGAGAGAGAGAGAGAGAG